CGTACGTCTGAAGGCATGTGCGTATGTATGTGTCACGGCCCCCGTACATCTGAAGGCATGTGCATATGTATGTGTCATGGCCCCCGTACGTCTGAGGGCATGTGCGTATGTGTGTTTGTGTTCTTCTTGGCCCGTGAGATTGCACGGGCAGGTGTTTGTGTGTGTATGGACGTATACACTCATTATCTGTGCACCCGGGTGTGTGTGTGTGTGGGGGCACTTCTTACTCTCATCCAATGCATCACAAAGTTCTCTCTACTCTGCCTGCCCCCGCAGAAACCTCTGGAATCTGACCCTTCTCCCACTTCCACTAACCCCTCATCTAGAGGATTTTAACAAGTCTTTATGTGTCTCTGATTTTGCCCCCTTCAATGTCTTTTCCACATAGCAGCCAGAGGATTTTTCTAGAACTTCAGTCTGGTCACACAATCCTAACCCTGCAACAGCCCCCATCCTTTGCTCTCAGGATAAAGCCCCAAATCCTAGACATGGCCGCCCAAACCAGGTGCTATCTGGGCCCCCTGCCCACCCAGCTCCCTAATCCTCCCCTCCCTTGCTGAGCTCCCTCTGTGCTGTAATAAGCCACTTCCTTGGGCCTCAAGGTCTCTGCCTGAGCTGTCCCCTTTGCCTCCCTGCCCCCTTGCCCAGCAGTCAGCACTTGCTCATCCTTGGGTCCAATGTCACCTTCCTGGGAAGCCTCCCTCTTACATTTTCTCAGGACTTTCCCTCTTGTATTTGCCAGTTTACAATTATATCTGATTTGTGGGATTATTTGATTGATATCTGTGTCCCCAGCTCAAATGTGAGTCTGTCCTCACCACTAAGAGTCCAGGCCTGATACAAGTAAATGCTCAGTGAATGTCTGCTGAACGAATCTGTGAGACTGGAGCTTTTTGGGCCCACAGTCAAGGTGGGGGCACAGAGCAGGTTTGAGTTCACACACCCCTGCCCTCAGGAGGTTGGGTTGGCCATCTCTCTGCCCTCACCCGCCAGGTAAGGAAGCCCAGGTGACCTTGCTCCTTCAGAGCCTCAGCATCAGCATCTCGGAAATGGGGAGATCATAATGACACTAGAGTCATTGGTTCCAGACAAGATCAAACTGATGACTAGGACTGCTCCAGCCAGCCTGGATGTCCTTGGGGCAGGGGCAGGGTCTGATTCACCCTAATGAGATGTGGCACCAGGGCAGAGTCTCAGGAAATGACAGGTGGATCTCAGAGTTTAGTGGAATGAGCCTTTGTGAGTAGGTGGGCCCTTGGGTTTGTGGGTGGGACTGGCTCAGCCCTGTGCAAGGCACCCCACCCAAGAGGATTCTGACTCCTCATGACAAGCCTAAGGGCAGCATTATTATTATTATCCCAGTGTTACAGTTTGAACATTCCTTCACTACTAATTCAATAAATATCTGAGTGCCTCTGTGCCTGGCATATCAGGCTATGAAAATGTGGGGTAAACAAGGCAGACACGGGCCCCTTCTTAGGGAACTCACTGCCTAATGGGGAGTAATAGTAATCATAACCTCCACCCCTCAGGCAGACTTGCTGTGTACCAGTATCCAACGTGCTACACTCATTCAAACCTCACAACAGCCCTACGAGTCAGGGAGTCCTATCATTCTGCCCATTTTACAGCTCAGAAAGTTCAGACAGGGATAGAAGAAGCCTGTTGCCCAGTGTACCACGGTTTATGACCCCAGGAACCAGGCGACCAACGCCCACATTTTTAACTTTGGTCTGTACTGCCTCTGGGCACACTGTCCTGCTCATGAGGCTGTGTCTGGCAGTATGACAGTGAATGCCCTCAGGTCCCAGCCTGAGCTCCGAGCCTGTCTGAGTCTGCGTGTGTGCGTGTGTGCAAGTGTGCGTGTACTTGTGTATAGCCAACTCCAGTTCTGTCTTTGGCTAATGATGTTGCCTAAGGCAGAGAGGACAATGGGCTTGGGGTCTCTAGGGTCTGGGGGCTACATCAGTTTCTTCACAGGAACTTCCCATTGGTCCTCACTTGGCTTCACAAATACTCATCACCTAGCAAGGACTTAATGTGCGGTCCTGCCTGGGGCTTGCAATATCTCTGTTGGTCTGTCAGTCTTTCTCCAGCTTGCTGAGATCTGTAAATAATATAACACCTTAGGAACCCAGTTGACAGCCCTCCCTTCTTTGTGCCAGGGAGGGTGTGGTGGTCTGAAGCCTATCCAGGGCTCCCTATTCCTAAAGAGTGGGGGTCAGGAAGTTAGGCCCCAGTGGTGCTGGGCTGAAGCAGGGAGGCTGACAAGGAACCGGAGGCACAGATTGAACGAAGGATGGGAGGATGGACTGTTTTGAGCCATACTGGCCCTGGGGCATTTCCTACTACGAGGCACCCCTTCCTCCTACTTTTTCCTGACAGTGAATGCCCTCGAAACTTCCTCTTTGAGCAATAGTTTCTAAACCTCTCCATTGTCCTCTCATGAGTGCTGGGGCCCTGAAAACCGGCGCTTGAACCATTTCTCCGGTAGGAAACACTGAAGCCAGGAATTGCCCCACGGTCACACAGCGAGTACGGAGCCGGACCGGGAACTCTAGTCTTGGGGACTCGCATTCTGGACACTTCCCAAGTCGTTACTGGGGCGTCCGGTAGTCTCTATGCTGAGGGTAATATTCCACTCTCACATCACCCATTCTCACAATGGATCATCCCCGCATCCCCTCGCAGGGCGGCAATGGGCCAGCCCACGGGCTCCCCCACTTCTCGGGGCAGTGGGTCCGTCCACTCAGTCCCCAGTTCCCCGCAGGATGTCCAAGGTTCCTTCCGTTCTGCTGCCGGCCCCGCGCGCTCACCTTTGGTTTTGTTTTTTCGCCACCGCCGGCGGCTACGACTCTTGGACCCCTCTTTGGCCCTCTTCGAGGCCAGGGCCCCATCGGCCCTGGCTGCCCCGCTTTCCCAGCCAGACTCCATCAATTCTCCGCGGTCCCCACGCGGGGGCCGATTACAGCCGCCAGGCCCCGCCGGGAGAGCCAATCCTCGTCGCACACCACCACCGGGCCCCCATATCACCCAATCCTGGGCTTGCTCCTCTCTGGATCCCGCCCTCTGAGCAATCCGGGCCTCACTCCACTGCCGGGTCCCGCCCCCAAACCCAGGGGCCTAAAGCCTGGCCCCGCCTCCTCGCACACTTTAAAGGGCCCGTGACCAACGAAAATGCAGCCCTGGAGGCGGCGAGAAGTGTCCTTCGGGCAGGACTAGTGGGGACTCCCGCGGGGGTCACCCCAGAAGGGAAGCCTCGATCTTCTCACGTGCTGACTCTCAGCCTCACTTTCCCACTCACCTTCCCAAGTAGGGATCCCCTAGAACGCGACCCGGCCCGCCTGCGGTAAGGGGAAAGCGGGGCGCCTTTGAGCCTCCGCCTCGGCGGGGTGGGGGGGGCGGGCGGGGTGGGCCAGGTCCACCGGCAATTCAAAGCCGGGGCGGGGCGACAGCACTGGAGGCGTGGCTCTGCCTGCGAGCTGTAGGAGAAGGAAGCCCCGCCTTTTTCCTGCCTTATTCGTCCTATTGCTGTCTTTCTCAGGATTCTTTTCTCTGCTTTCTCCCTCTCTCCCAGGGAATGGAGGGCGGGGGAAGGAGAATGCTCGGCGCCTGCGCACTAGCCCGAAGCCGCGGATCGGCCCGTCGAGAGCGACGGTAGAGGGCCTGGCGCGTGCCTGCGAAAAGGCGGGAGACGGAAGAGGCTCGAGGCTCGAGGCTCGCGCATGCGCACACAGTCAACTGCGGACGGAGCGTCGGAGGGGAGGTTACCGCGTTGGTGTGTGGAACGCCTCCCTTGAGACTGGATTCTGGAGCCTACTGAAATAGCTCTTTATCCTCAGCGCCAGAAAAAAAAGACCTCAAACCCTCCCTTTCCGTCCTGCCCCTCCTCTCAGCCGAGGCCACCATTGCCGGCCCTTCCGGAGCCCCTCAGCTTCTGGACTGGGGCTGCCTTGCCTCCCCTCAGGCTGCTTCAACAACTAGCCCCTCGTTCCACGGACGAGACTTTGCGTGCCCCCTTCGGCCCGAGCGCTGTGGAGCTGGAGCCTGCCCTCCCCCAGGGGCACCATGGCCTGCGTCAGAGGGGGAAGCAGCGCTGGCGGCTTAGCGGAGTCCCGGGCCCGGCCCGCTCCTATACTGCTCCCCGCAACTCTCCCTTCGTCCAGCCTCAACCTTGCCCGAGACTTCGGCAGACCCCGCAGCCCCTCTCCCACGCCACCCTTCCTGAGAACACAACCCCCAGGCCACCGAGCCTGGCTGGACTGGAGGCGGCCTGGCAGGGGAGCAAGTGCCTCCCTGCCCGCCCGGGGCGACCTGGAGAGCTCGAGGATCCCCGAGGCCCGATGTTCCACCTAGTGGGGATGGAAACGCCGTGAGGGTAAGGGTTTACGGGTAGCACCAGGTGGCTGGTGCCTAAGGCAGAGGGTGCCCCAGGGCTGTGAGTTTGGGGACCGATGAATGAATACTGGCGGGGGTTGGGGGGGTGGGAGCTACTCTCTCTTCCTGGCCCGAAGCCCAGAGCCCTGTCCCACTTCTGTCTGATTTCCCCCAAATCCTCCGTGGGGAGGCAGCCTGGTGCAGGGAAGAAGTCACAGCCTGGCTTTGCCACTCCCGATATCAGCCCTGACTCCTGCAAGGCCTTTACGTCTCCAGGCTTCAGCCTCCTCATCTATCAAATGGGGCTGTTGATCTTTGGAAGGACTGGTGAGGGATCCCCAGAGCCAACCTGACATACTGGCGGTCCTTAGTTCCTCTTGACTGAACGAATGACTGTCTCTGGGAGGCTCGCTCATTTCCTCCCGCCTCAAACTCACCTGTGTCCCTGTAGTGTCTGTGATTCTGGCTGCCAGTTTTCTTCCCGTGTGCTGATATCCCACCATACCCTGATGCTGCTTCATGTTTCCCCTTGAAGGCCAGCTTCTTTCCCTGGGCCACTGTTCCACCCCTCTTGGGTGATGAATTGCCCTTTAATGGAGACCCCACATCTGGTTCTGAGTCAGAATCTGTGACCCACTCATAAAACGTCCTCCACTCTGAGGCTCGTCGCTGTGTGGATGCTTGGTGTAGTTGTGAGAGAAATCCCCACTCAGTCGAAGATCTCAGCTGGGATTTGGCTCCTCGGACTGGAACTCTTTGCTGGGCTGTAGGGTCTGACTGTCTCAGTCTCTCTTGGGATGTAGATTCAGTCTGGGCAGGTGATCCATTTTTGCATCCAGGTCTAGGCTGGGCTGGAGGTGTTAATCCAGCTTCTTGTTGATCTGGAGGTTGCTGCACTGGGCCAGGTCCTGGCTGGGCAACATGTGCCTTTCTCAATTCTGGTTCCTGTTGAGTTTCAGATTCTTTTCCTGGCCCAGGTCCCTGCTGGAAGGCAGCTTCCTGTTGAGAGGAGGGTACCTGGTGCACGGCAGGTGATTGCTGTGGTGCAGGCTCCTGCGGAGCAGGAAGTTCCTGCTGCAAACCTGAATTTTGTTGGGTGCTAGGTTCCTGCTGGGATTCAGCTTCATGTTGGGCAAGGGGCTCCTGCTGAGTGAGGAGTCTTTGCTGTCGATCGGGCTCCTGCTGAGTACTGGGTCCCTGATGAGTCTTAGATGCTGGCTGGGGTGTGGCTGTCACTTTTGGCCCAGGCTCTGGCTGGGTGATATGTGTCTGGGGTGGCTTAGGTTCCAAGTCAGGCCTAGACACTGACTTAGAACCTGGCTCCACTGTTGTTACTTCCCTCTCGGGAGGTGTTGCTCTCCCAGGTTTCATCCTTCTGGGCCCCCAAGGCCTTTTTTGTCACAGACCCCTCATTGATTCCTCATAATGGCACCTCCCTTTGGGTTCCACTCCTTCATCCTGGCATTCCTGGTCTTCCTTTTTAAGGCAGTTGCAAGTGGCACTGCTGACCTCCACTCCTGTGCCTCTTGCTGTGGGAGGAGGGATTAGGAACGGGAGGAGGCTGTGTGTCCAGCACTCTCCTACCAGAGGGGAGGGGCTTGCCCTCTTGTGTCATAAATAGGACCCCACCCACTTACCACTCAGTTAAAGTGTTTTTTCTCTTAAGGCAAGCAACCTAATTTAGTCCTTTGTTTCATCTGGGATGACAGAAGTCAGATACTGGATGAGTGTTTTTGTTTTTCCCCCTCCCCTTCTGACATTTCAGGAAAGGGTTAGAGGGGAGGCAGTCTTTATATGTTTTAATAATCTTTTCCTCTTTATTCATTCTTTCAAATGGCTGCCAGTTTAATATCCTTATATTATTGCTTTGATCATTTTATTTCCATGTTAAAAAAATGACACCCTCCCATTTTTACAGCTTGAAGCCCTTTTCAATGGCATTTGAGATCTTCCACACCATCTCTCTAGCCTTGAACTGTGGTTATGAATATGTGTTTCCTTTTCTTTCTTTTTTTTAAAGATTTTATTTATTTGACAAAGAGAGACAGCAAGAGAGGAAACACAGAAGGGGGAGTAGGAGAGGGAGAAGCAGGCTTCCTGCCTAGCAGAGAGCCGGATGCAGGGCTCGATCCCAGGACCCTGGAATCATGACCCGAGCCAAAGGCAGACGCTTAACAACTGAGCCACCCAGGCGCCCATGAATATGTGTTTTCTGTACTAGATTGGAAACTCACAGAGTGCAACGACCATTAACGATAATGATGATGATAAGAAGAATCATAAATATTGAAGGCATTTTATGTGTTGGGAGACTGTGCCAGGGTTTTTTTGTTTTTCTTTAATCCACATTGTCTTTAGTAAGATCATGTCGGATTCGTTGCTATACCTGCTTTCTTTGCCCCACTTAGCTCTTACCTCAAAAAGGTTTGTTAAATGGGTAAAAGCATTAAAAAATTGGGCAGTGGAGAGGAAGAGTGAGGCTGGGGGTGGGGAGAAGTGTGTGTAGAATCTGGGTAGAATTTGCAGTAAACAGGCTAGAGTGGGGACTGAATGAGTTGCCAGACCCCATTTGAAAGAAATGATTTTGACTTATTACATTTAAAAATATTTATTGACTTCTGCTTGCTACTTGCCTGGTTATATTTAAGGTCATTTGGGACCAGTTAAGAAGCCAGGGTTTCCAGGTTTCTTTCAGGTAATTAAGCTTAAGCCCGGGAAAGGGGAGAGAGAGCAGGGCACAGGAAAAGACTGACAAGAGAAGAGGGCACCAGAGGGAGCAATAATCTCGGGGAAAATGCTTTGTGAGAACACTGGAGAGGGGACACGGAGGGTGAGCTGGAAGTGAGAGAAGAACATCCTCTAGGTGTGCTCACTATCATCTTGACTGAGAATGTTTCATTGGGAGAGCGAGCCCCCAGAGGTCCTACAATGGCAGAGCAAAGCTTGCCAGCTGACATTGTTTGAGAAATTCCTGGCAGGCTCTGGAGTGCTTGTTTGGCTTCCTGTGGTGCCTTTGGTGCCCTAGGGTGAAAATAAAGATTAATGTTAAAAACGTTTTAAAAACTAAATTTTTGGGCACCTGGGTGGCTCAGTTGGTTAAGCGACTGCCTTCGGCTCAGGTCATGATCCTGGAGTCCCGGGATCGAGTCCCGGGATCGAGTCCGGCATCGGGCTCCCTGCTCAGCAGGGAGTCTGCTTCTCCCTCGGACCCTCCCCCCTCTCTGTGCTCTCTCTCTCTCACTCTCTCTCAAATAAATAAATAAAATCTTTAAAAAAATTTAATTTTTATGAAAGCTTTCAAGATGATATAAGAGTGAGACTCGTCCAATGGAAAAAATAAAATTAAAAAAAATTTTTTTTAAATTAAAATAAAGAAAATATATTCTTCACTCCTCATTCCTCAGAGCTGGATGCTTAACCAACCGAGCCACCCTGGTGCCCCCCAAAATAAAATACTTAAAAATAAATAAATAAATTTTTGATAGGTACTACCAAATTGTATTTTACTTCTACCACCAGTGATAAGGATCTTGATTTATCTCATTCTTCATAATATCATTGTTTCAATCAGTTTAATTTGCCAATTTACTTTTTATATGACATTTAAAAACGTCCCAAGGGAGGAACCAAATTCTATTTGACATCTTCAGAGATCAATGACCGGGTCCCCAATAGCCCCATCTCCCTCCACTTTGATAAGCAATGAGCTTCTAAAATCTAAGAATTTGGTTGAACCTTTCTAGTATTAGGAAAACTGTATCCGCCTCCCTTGCTCTTCTTATTTCCTCAAGTTGATATTGAGTAGAAAGTGTTGAGAGGTGTGCTTATCTTGGTGTTCATTTCACTTCTCTTGTCTATTCTCAACCCCTGCTCCGCCCTAGTTGATTCCACAGAGTGCCCCTGGTTTAAGGAAGGTCATTCTTTTGAAACTTACTGGTTTTCTTCACACGGGCCTTGTACTGATCACAGGGACACTGCTTCTTTGGCATCTCAGGCACTGTCATGATTTTTCTTTTAGGGGCTCTCAGGAACCAGTCTGAAATAACAGGTTTGGTGCTTAGAGGGGAAGGTTAATATCTTTGAGAATAGGGAGTGGGGGCAGGGCTTTACTTGCCATCTTCCTTGCCTTCCAGTTTCTTTTTCAGACTGCAGTGGAGGTGGGGAAAGGGGTCAACACAGAACAGTGGGGATACCCAGTTATATGAGCACCAGGATTTCTGAGTTGTTTTGCCTGACCTGTATTGGCACGAATTTGGTGGCAGGTTTGGAGGGGGCATCAGGATATCATTAAGGAGACCAAAATATGAAGAAAAGATTGAGGCGGCTGCCTTTGGCTGCTTTAACTAGGCCAAGCATTTTGCCTCTCCGATTTCAGTCTTATTTATGGGTAACCAAAGGTCAAAAACAAGATCCAGGAATTTTTGTAAGGCAGCCCTGGGTTCTTGGGGAAAAGACTAAAGGGGAAGGGGCAGCCAGAGATTCAGCCAGCTCCCCCTGGACTTTGGAGGGGTCCTGCTCTTGCTGGAGACTCAGGAAGAAGACAAGCGTTGGTGCTGCATGTGGTGGGCTGGAGGAGAGGGCAGTGGGTGAAGTCAGCTCAGAAAACATCTGTAGTGGTGTGGGGGGGGCAGGGGTGGGGCTCAGGGGAGGGAATTGGATGGTGATGGTGCAGTTCTATTGTTGATACTGACCTTTGCACTTACATTCTTGGCCTTCTTCGTGGAGCCACCTCTTAGGAGCCTGGCGATCGTCCCGATGGCCTCTGGCGACCCCTGGTGGAAGGAAACAGGTCATGACCAGGCACCGGAAAGGGAAGGGGCCAACAGAAATGGTACCCCAGCATTGTGCTACCTGCATCAGTGGTTTTTCCTTTCTCTCTCTCTCTTTTTTAAAGATTTTATTTATTTATTTATTTTAGAGAGAGAAAGAGCACAAGGGGAGCAGTGGCAGAGGGAGAGGGAGAGAGAGAAGCAGGCTCCCTGTGCTGATGCCAGGCTTGATCGCAGGACCCCGAGACCAGGACCTGAGCCGAAGGCAGACACTTAACTGACTGAGCCACCCAGACATCCCTAATTTCCTTTTTTATTCAGGGATCTAGGGTACTTCAAGAGAGGAGTATTTTAAATGGATAAGGAATTGAGGTTTAGAATCTGGCTTAGAGAAGAGCTTAGCTGGAGGTAGGTGGAAAAAGAATGGCTTCTAGATGGAAGAAAGGACAAAAGGTGGGCATAAATCAAGACCTGACAGGGATGCCTGGGTGGCTCAGTTGGTTGAGCATCTGACCCTTGGTTTTGGCTCAGGTCATGATCTCAGAGTCATGATCTCAGGGTCGTGGGATTAAGCCCTGCATTGAGCCCCAAGTCGGGCTCTGTGCTCCATGTGGAGTCCCCTTGGGTTTCTCTCTTTCTCTCTCTGTCCCTCCCACCCTTCTCCTGCTCTCACTCCCTTTCTCTCTCAAATATATAAATAAATTTTTAGGAAAAAAAAAAAAGACCTGACAATACCCCCTAGCCCCAGCACGCATTAAGATTCTCATGACTTAAGGAATGAGAACAAGGAGCAGATTATTCCATAAACTAGTCAGGATCTTCACCTGACCTTCAACTTCCTGTATTTGAGTCCATAATCCCAGTTCAACTATAAAAGGATGGTATTTACTTTTGTGCCTCTGGAACAAATCCATTCCTCTTTTGGCCTCTAGTCAAGTCTGTCTTATTACCTGATGCTGTCTTATTCCCATTTTGTGATACCTAAAATATTTCTATGACAATCAAGGATGACGGTTGATAGACCTGAGACTCTGGAGCTAGAAGTGGGCCCAGATGATGCTTCCTTTGTATAGTAGTTTCTGATTATTTCCTGTAAAAGTTAATTATGCTTTCACATGGTTCTCCATTGTATTTGAAGGCAGCTCTCTTAATACACAGTTATATGTATAGTTTGTTGTTTGAAATCTATTGTGGACTGAATTGTGTCCCCCCAAATTCATGATGAAGCCCTAATCCCCAGAATGTATTTGAAGATAGGGCCTTTAAAGAGTTGACTGAGTTAAAATGAGTTTGAGTCAAGATGAGGTCATTATGGTGGGTCCTGATTCAGTCCGACTGGAGTCCTTATAAGAAGAGATTTGGGCAAAGTGATACCAGAGATGTGAGAAAATAAATTTCTGTTGTTTAAACTCCCCATTCTGTGCTAAATTGTTAGGGCTGCCCTAGGAAACTAAAAATCTTTCTCCCGCAGATGGCTCAATAGTCATTCAACTACATACAGCTGACACATGGTAGGCACTTAGTAAATGTTTGTTCAATAAGCAAATGAACAGATTTTCTGGAGAGGGCCCTTAGAGATCATCTGGTTCAATCCAGGGCTCTTTCCCAGACTTGTGCCCTTTCTGCCACACAGATGGAAGGTGTTGCATCATTTTCCCAAGTGCTAGTTTCCAAATGTTCTCATGTGCTGTTTTGAGTGCTATTAAAATAATTTAAACAGGCACACATAGCCCCTGCCATCTAAACTTTTCTAATATTTTACTCTCAACTGACCTCTACTTGTAGTTCCAGAGGAAAGCCACAGAGTGCTAGAGCCAGAGGGAATCTTGGAGGTTATTTAGTTGAATCTCTTTATTTAGAAGTTTTTTCATTCTAAATGTAATATAGCTATATTAGAGAAAATTTGGAAAGTACAAATAAATCTTTATTCTTATCGTCTTGTGGTATTTTGGTGTGTTTCCTGCATATGATTTTCTTTATACAGTGATAACCATAGTATGTGAACAAGTTTCTTTTTGTTCACTTTATAAGCATGTTGCTCTGTCATCCTCATAATGGACATTTTTATTAACTTTTTTTTTTTTTTGAGAAAGAGAGAGAGTGCGAGCATAGAGGGGCAGAGGGAGAGAGGGAGTCTCAAGCAGGTTCCATGCCCACGCAGAGTCCTACTCAGGGCTGGATCCCATGATCCTGAGATCATGACCTGAGCTGAAATCAAGAGACGGACACTCAACCAACTGAGCCACCCAGGTGCCCCCCCTTTTAAAAAAATTTTATTTATTTACTAGAGAGAGAGAGAGTGCATGAGTTGGGGGAAGGGGCAGAGGGAGAGGGAGAAGAAAACTCCCCGCTGAGCAGGGAGCCCAATGACAACTCGGGGCTTGATCCCAGTACCCTGGGATCATGATCTGAGCCAAAGGCAGACGTGTAACGACTGAGCCACCCAGGCGCCCCAATAACAGACATTTTTAATGACTGCATAACATTCCCAGTAAGCATATGAGCTCCTAATTATTTAACTGTTCACTCATTGCTGAATATTTAGATTGTTTTACTTTTGGATATTGATAAATTTATGTTTGTAACTGTTTTCCAAATGTTAGATTATTGTCTTGGGCAAGATTTCCCAAAGTGGAATTGCTGGGTCAAAAGTTAAGAATAGTTTTATGTTTCTTGATATTATTACTAAATTGCTTGTAAAAGGGTTGTACTAATTAACCAGATCACTCTCCCTTTTCTTTTCAGATGAGGAAACTGAGGCACAGAGAGAGCAAATGAAATGCCCAAGTTCACAAAGGTAATGGTGACGCCTCTGAAGCTAAAACCCAGGTCCAGGTTTCTTAAGTCTGTTGTTTTTCTGCAGCCTTTACAACCCTAATTCCATGGTGTAACTTAAAATGAAGCTGCATGTTCCTGTAATATTGTGTTTCCCAAACCTCAGACATTTCTGCGCCACCTTTATGATGCTTTTTGTAGCTTGTACCACCTCTACTATTATTTACTTCTTACCTTTTCTTTAAACAGATTTAATTTACAAAACAGCCTCATCCTCTGCAATATTATCTGTGAGATTAGGGGCTTGATACATGCTTAGATTTTTTTCTAAGATGCATTGACATAAACATAACTATTGAAGTAAAAGCTAATTTATGTCCTACCGAAAATCAATTTTGGAGAATATTGATACAGTGGAATAAGCATGAACTTTACATCCAGGCAGGTGGACCTGGCATCAACTACTTGCTCTGTTAGTTAACGATGTTGTCTCGGCTTCTTTGATCTTTGGTTCTCTGGTTTGTAAAACGAGAATAGTAGTATCCACCTTGCAGAATTAGGAATAAATGAGCTACTGGGGATGCCCAGTGACCAGTGCCCAAGTAGGTGTTCAGTACATGATGGTTATTATTGTGGTTATTATTGCGGATTTCTGTCACTCAGTCCCAAAGAGGGTGTCTGTGCTGGAATGTTAGGTTTGTTGCTTTATGCTGACCTGTATGTGTAAAGAAGCTACTCCTACTTGTTAGGATTCGTGGTAGATCTATCATTATTTTGACTTCCCTGTTCCACTACATATTAACTTTATGATTTCGGACAAGTTGCCTAACTTCTGTGTTTCATTTACCTAATTTGTAAAATGGGGCTAATAATAGTCCATTAGTGTGTGCGCATGCATCTGTTTCCTAGCTTTGTCCACTAGAGGGCGTAGAAGCACTAGCACCTAGTAGCCATGGGCAATACCTTCGTGCCCATGGTTTGTGAGTACTATTCTCCAATGAAAGGAACCAGAGCTCCTTGGAGAAATGGCTGATTCCAAGGCAGGCCAGGGAAGTACAAGATGAGCCCGGAACATCTTGTGGTATCAGAAAGTCCGGAACTGCTAAAAAATGATATGTCAAAAAGACATAGAAGCCTACTTGCAGGAGCTCTCAATAATCAATTCTGAAACAATATGAACAACATAATAAATAATGATAGTAATGGGTTATAATCCGTAAATATCCATGAGTCTTTACTCATATAAACAAATAATTCAATAAATAAATGGGGGAGAAGGAGAAGCTTTTTCTTATAGTAGAATCCCAATTAATAAATGTAGAAGGAATGTTGGAAATAGATAATCACCATTTGGCTAATACCATAGTAACATTTGTTGAAGGTGGGAATCATCAATGGATTTTAAAAATTAGTGGGCAAAAGTATGATGAGAAGAAACAGGCTATTTGCATAGTCTTAAAGTATCTCTCCACAAGATACTTATTAATTATAGTGGGGAAAAGAGTAGCTTTACATTAGAGAAACCTGGCAGACACCACCTTAAGCAAGTGTTCAAAATGAATATCGTCAGTAGTTGGGAATGATCAGTATCGTGGGCCGTCTGATTTGATGCATGGAGAGGGCACACATGACTTCTGTGGTATTCTTGCCAAAAATGCATAATCTGAATTTAATCATGAAGAAACATCAGACAAACCCAAACTGAGGGGCTTTCTACAAAATAACTGACCAAAAAAAAAAAAAAAAATAACTGACCAGTACTCTTCAAAACTGTCAAAATCATGAAAGAAAGGAACGCTGAGAGACTACTCTAGCTTGGGGAAAACCAAGGAGACATGACAACTTTATTCAGTGTAGTATCCTGGATTGGATTCTGGACCAGAAAAAGGACATTAATGGGGTGATTAGCAAACCTGAATATTACTACATTCATTAATAGTATTATGGGGGCACCTGGGTGGCTCAATCATTAAGCATCTGCCTTTGGCTCAGGTCATGATCCCAGGGTCCTGGGATCGAGCTCCGCATCGGGGTCCCTGCTCAGAGGAGAGCCTGCTTCTCCCTCTCCCACTCCCCCTGCTTGTGTTCCCTCTCTTGCTGTAAATAAATAAATAAATAAATAAATAAATAAATAAATAAATAAATAAAATAAAATAAAACATTTAAAAAATAGTATTATGTCAATGCTAATTTCCTGGTTTTGATAATCATATTATGGTTATGTAAGATGTTATTTGAAAAAAACTGGATGAAGGATATATGGGAACTCTTGATTATTTTTATAGCATTTCTTAAGTCTGAAAAATGAAAAGTGAATTAAAAAATACATTATATTTCTGTGAAGACACAATGAGGTAATATGAGTGAAGAGCTTACAACACTGCCTGCCACATAGGATTGCTTAACACATTCAGCTATTATTGTAGATTAATGTAGTTAATGGTATTATAAGTAATTTATCTGTTATTATAAGTGATTTGTTTCCTAACATTTTCATATATTCTTATCTAGTCTCCTCCCTCTCTGTGAAAAACACACTCTGCATGTATGTGGTTATTTTAAGAGATAAAGTAAGATCCGATTTTATTTTGAGAATTTGGGGGGATGGGAAGGTGAGGGGTGTCGTTTCCTCTAGCCAGACAGGTCCTGCAAAGCTGTGTTTGGCTGGAAGACTGAGACGGAGCCGGATGTGGCTGTAATAGCGCCACCTGGCGGCAGAGGGAGCTTTCCCCAATTCATTGCCATTGTGCTTTAGGAGCGACTTGAGATATTTTACTCAGTCCGTTTATTGAATCCTTGCTAGGTATACATTATAGATCATTTAATATTCACAACAACTATATGTTCTAAATGGTATTTTACTCATTTTAAGATGGTAAAACGGGCTCCACAAAATGAAGCAGCTTGTCTAGGGTTGCAAAGTAAGGGTGGAACAGGATTTGGATCTAGGTTCCCTGGGCTCTAAGGCTGAGTCTGCAGGTCTAAGTAAGTCTCAACGTGTCGTCAGGTTTGAGAACTATTGCAGGGGTTCTCAGCTGGGGAGCAGTTTCCCCCTCCAGGGGACATTTGGCAACGTCTAGAGTTAACTTTATCTATCTTAACTGGGGGCAGGGTTGGAGAGGCTGCTTTTGGCATCTAGTTGATAGAGGCCACACAGATGCTGCTGAACATCTTACAATGCACAGAATAGCACCCTACAGCAAAGAATTACCCAGCCCCAAATGTTAATAGAGCTGTTATCAAACCCAGGTGTAGAGTCTTTTAAGGGCAACATTTTGAACTTAGAAACCTGAGCATTTATTCTTTCACTTAGCAAATATTTACTGAACACTATACTGGATAGTGTGAGGGATGTGGAAACAATATACCAGACTGTGCCACCAAGGAGGTTACAGTCTAGAAGGGCAGGGGTGGAGGAAGGAGGAAGGTACACCTTCAATATAGGACAGAATATGACAAGAGCAAAGAGAGAGTCAGGTTTGGACTAAGCATGTTCACAGGATGGAGGGCTCGTATCTGGTTGAGAGAGGTATCAGGGAGGCTGTGAGGAGGAGGTGGTTTCTGAGCTGAGTGTATGAGTGAAGTTAAGCTGGTGGGGAAGCACGAGACCCATTCAGGGAACAACCAACAGTCTAGTTTAGGTGGAACACAGAGCATTTGTTAGTGAGATGAGGGGTGGATTGGAAAGGCAGGTTGTGGTTAGAGCCTTGAATCGAGGGTGAGGACTCTAGCCTTGGTGTCTGTCACTATGATGGAAAAGCCTTCCCCTCCAGACTGGCAGTCTAGGCCCTAGCACTATGGGGCCCAGCACCTCCCAGAGATCTCTACAAGGGAAGGGAAGTGTAAAATTGGGGTGGAGTAAGGTGAACTTCTGATTTTAAGGATCAAGTTAAATATGTAAAAAAGCTATTTTACCTCAAAGTAGCCATCGAGGAGTTGGTTCTCTCGAGTAGAAACATACATGGGATGAGCTCTCTTCTGCATGGTTGTTCGGCTAATGGTGAGGCCACCTGAGATGTAGTAAAAGCTGGAGCTGATTTGGAGCCTTTAACCTAAGGCCTGCTTCCCAAAAGGTGAGCTTAGTATGGCTAAAGCTTCCAATATGAATACTGTCTGGTGATATGATTTTCCTAGTTTATTACTTTACCATTAAATAGCATTAAAAATTATTGGTTGCATTCTGGTGCGCTATAAAGAATATAAGCAAGGACTTCTCATCCTCCATGAATGTACAGTTGCCTTTAACACCTTTACACTGCCGTCACCGAGATTGGCTCTTCTGGAAAGGGATTAACGGCAGAAGGTAAGGGAGCAGATTTTTTTTTTAATTTAAAAATTTTACTTAAAGATCTTATTTATTTGAGAAAGAGAGTGAGCACAAGCAGGGGAGCAGTAGGCGGGGAGAGAAGGAGAAGCTGACTTCCCACTGAGCAGGGAGCCCGATGCGGGACTTGATCCCAGGACCCTGAGATCATGACCTGAGCCGCAGGCAGACGCTCAACTGACTGAACCAACCAGGCATCCCAAGGGAGCAGATTTTTATTGAGCCAGTGTATATCTATATTTTGTTAGCTACAGTTTCAGATATTTTGATACCCACTATCTCATTTCGCTCTCACAACATTCTGGATGTAAGTATAGTCTTCTCCTTTTTGTAAATGAGGAACCAGGCATTGACAGAAGCTAACTTGTCCCAAATCCTTGTAGCTGGAAGGGGCTACGTTTCAATGCATGGTTGTTGGTTTTTTGGGGTTTTTTTTTGCCACATTTTCTTCTCGGTTTTGCCGCATTTTCTCCCCCTTGCTTCCCCTTTATAGAAAATTAATCTTATTACCTGGATTTGGGCTGCTAGTGACCACAGGCATCAGCATTAGTGGCAGCAACAGAAGGAGAAAAGAGATTAGAATTTTCATTGCGACTGTTGGTGCTGCTGTTGAGTCACTTGAAGAGAGTGTGGAGGGTTCCCAGTTGGAGGCCCCCGACGTCTTCCTGGGGATGGCGGTCTGGGCTTTAATCCCTGGCCAGTGTTCCCATTAGAGGGTGAGAACAGCTAAGTGACGCTGACCTTGTTAGGTAACAGGTTTACAGGAATCTCGGAGGCAAAACTGGCCAAACAAAAAAATGAAGCATTCTTAAGAACACTAGAAGGTGACTGACAACTTGGCAGCAATACTGGTTCCCTCCCCTCCTCTTCCCCCACTCCTTACCCCCCAGGGTGCTAGGATTTCTTCCCCAGATCTTTTTGCTCTTTGAATTTCCTTATATCTTTTTTGGTGCTTTCTAGCTTAATATCGGGCAGGAAAGTGAGTACTAAGGGTCAGCAGAAGAGAGGATGACATGATTTGTTCCCCCTCTGTCCTCCAGGCCCCTGGAGCAATAGGAGTGTTGCTTGAGAAGTTGCCCTGTCCTCACTCTGTTTACAATTTCCTACCAATTCTGTGGCCACATACTTCCCACTTCTGTGGGAAGCAGAGAGTACCGAAGATGAGAGGCTATTTCTCTCTTGCTCAGAACATTGCCCCTGGAGCAGTGGGTCATACTGGGCTTCCTTGTTGTTCATCAGGAAGGTGGCTGTGGCTTAATTGCTCCAGACTGAAGGAGAAGGAACTGGGTTGGTGGAAGACCCCCAGGGCTTCAAGGCCAAGAAGGTTTGAGAAACAGAAACCATAGGAGGGAATTGCTCCAGACTAAAGGAGAAGGAACTGGGTTGGTGGAAGACCCCCAGGGCTTCAAGGCCAAGAAGGTTTGAGAAACAGAAACCGTAGGTGGGAAGGAGCCCTTAAAGGGTATTTGCCTGTGCTGTTGGGATTGTTGGCTCCAGACTTTGGAAACAGCCCAGGGCAAAGGAAGAAGGTAATACTACTTAGAGTAACCATTAAGGTGAGAACATCAGTACTTACTAAACTTGACTCATTTCAGAGACTTTGGGAAATGTGCTCAAAGAAAGGGGAGAGACAGGCTTGAATGCTGAGTGATATTTGCGGGGGCGGAGGGAAAGGTTAACAAGGAAGTCCTCCCTGGCAGCCTCCAGGCAGGAGTGAGAACAGGTGGCGTGATTGTTTGACTTAGGAGGGGAAAGGCAAGGCATGAGTCAAACCCTTTTTGATTTCTGTATGATCATTCTTACCCTCTCAATTTTCTTTTCTTTTTTTTAAGATTTTATTTATTTATTTGACAGAGAGAGAGAGAGACAGCGTCTAGAGAGGGAACACAAGCAGGGGGAGTGGGAGAGGGAGAAGCAGGCTTCCCGCGGAGCAGGGAGCCCGATGCGGGGCTCAATCCCCGGACCCTGGGATCATGACCTGAGTAGAAGGTGGACGCCTAATGACTGAGCCACCTAGGTGCCCCACCCTCTCAATTTTCAAATTATTGCTGCTTATCGACATGTTGGAGAGTTGATTATAGACTGCTACTACAAAGTTTATAAAGCACCTTCATGAGGCAGGCACAACGGGGATTTGTCTCCAGTTGAAGGCGTGGGCTTGTCTGAGCTTGGTCTGATATAAACCATGGGTGTGGTTTCTCTGGAGAATTCTAACAATGGTCTCTATTCTCAGGAGGCTCAAATCTAACCAGCGAGATGATATATATTCATAAAACCTAGAGATGGAAGTGGAACCAAATTCCAGAAGTGGCAGGAGTTCACTGTGGGCTCAGAGTCACTTGGGGGGACTCTCATTAGGGGGAGCTTGGGCGGGGGCTTGCTGGTAGGGTAGGATTTGGATTGGTGGAGGCCACAGAGGAGGGCAGTGCAGAGGAGCATGGAGCTAATTGGATGGGGATCTTTGAGGGTAGTGGAGGGGGTGTTACTGTTCATTTTTGCATAGGGCCTGGCACTTCGGGAGTACTCTATCAATGTTTGTTGAATTAAGGGATATTCTCGTAACACTTTAACTAGGCCTGATATGTTAGGAAGCATGTGAAAAGTGCAGTCCATTATCAGAAAGAAAATTTCACTGATGAATGGTCATGTACCACAAGGGACCTGGTGGGAGTGCTTTCCTTTGCCCACTGAGTTTTCCGTCAGTCTGCTCCCCAGCTGCTGCAGTGTCAGTGAGCTCCTCAGCCCTTCCTCCTGGTCCCCTCAGCCCTGGCTCCCTGTCAGTTCCCTCTGTTTGGTCTTCCCCTCCAAGGACTTGGGGTGGGGTTTGGGTCCTGGGAACCCTGGGAGGGGGCTTTGGGTCCCTCAGGTCCCTTGATATAAAACACCCCCGGGACAAACAGACTTTTTTCTTGTTAATATTGACAACTACTTAGAGCCCATCTTGAGAACATTATTTTTTTCAACCCAGCCTCTCTGCCTTACAAAGCTTCCCCTTCAGGAAGGAGGTAAGAGAAAGTGGGGAGAAAATACCATTCTGCCCCTGGTGGGTTTCCTGACTCCACAGTGTACTTAGTAGACATTCAGAAATGTGTGTTGATTGATTCCATGATTCATGCTGCCCTAATAATCATTTATTCATACATATATTCAGTAGACATTTGAGCACCTAACGTGTGCCTGGCGTTTGCTAGATGGTGGCTACCGAGAAGAACGTGTGAGGCTGTCCCTGAGGGGCTCTCACTAAACATAGAGACCCACTGAGGGCTAACCTAACTGCTCCATTTCACAGAATGGAAGTTTAAGTTATATGATTTGTGCAACATCATACAGTTCCATTAACCTCAAAGCCACAGGACTAAAAAAAAAAAGAAAGAAAGAAAGAAAAGCCACAGGACTACTAACACTCAATTTTTCTGACCTGCTAGAATTTCTGTTCCTGTGGCAGCCGTGGTGAGCTCTAACAGGATAGAGTGGACATTCAGAATGAGCCCACAAATGCCTTGGATTAACCAGAAGGAAATGTCTGACCCAACTATGACTGTCTGGGACATTTGCATTATTACTATTTTTTTTTTTTTCACTTTGAGCTTGAAATGAGGAAAACTGAGCCCAGAAAACAAGAGTGGAAGATTTTCACAGGGGGTTGCTGGGATGGTCCTCAAAAGTCTGTGTCTACCTCTGTTGAGGTATTTCCCACTGAACTGTGATGGTCTGGCTTTGAATTTAGGTGCCCTCCATGGCCCAGAGCTCAGTGAGGGCTGAGACCCGGGTCTGGTTCATTTTTGTGTCTCCAGGGTATAGTACACAGCAGGCTCTAATAAATATTTCTTAAAAAAATAAAACTGAATATGGGGCTCCTGGGTGGCTCAGTCAGTTTAACGTCCAACTCTTGATTTTGGCTCAGGTCATGATCTCGGGGTTGTGAGTTCTAGCTCTGTACTCAGCAGGGAGTCTCTTTGAGAGTTTCGCCCTCTGCCCCTCCCCCCCACTCCCTCTCTCTCAAAATAAATCTTTTAAAAAGCTGAATAAAAAGTATACGCCAACAGAAGTGTGGGGTGACCGAGCCGCTGTACAAGTAGGAAAAACCAGTGTCGTCCCATCAGCTGACGTGGCTTTCTAAGACAGGCCTGGCGCCCAGCATGGGAAGCGGGTGGTCCCGTGGCTCTGCTGCTCTGGTTAGAACACTCCTAGGATACTGAGTTTCCGCTGTGCTGGACACACTTCGCTGGCCCATTGGAAAGGGACAGAAAAGTGTAGGGACTTCAGGATTGTCATTTGGGAAAGGTCTGTTTTGTGAAAATGTATTAGACGCATTTCAGGGCCAACAGAGTAGGACTTGGACTGGTGAGTGTGCAGCAGACACGTTCGGCTCAGGATGAGAAAGAGCTGTCATAGCAAAGTAAATTTCCTTGGAAAATTACAAGTTTACTGTCAGAGTTCAGGCAGGGGCTGGATGTCTGAAAACGTGTCGCAGCGATTTTTTTGTTGTTTTTGAAGGTTACAAGGGCAGAGCTTGGCTTGGAGCCCCGCTTCCCCACTAATACCACATTTTATTACATATTAGAAAAACTGCCCTTTGAATGATGACATGACTGTATGGTGCAGGCTGAAGTCTGTCTGACAGCTACTTCCGGTCATTGTGGGTGGTTGTGATTCTCTTACGTGATCTGTGACTTGGACTTCACTCTCTCTGCTGACCCCCACCCCCTTCAAGGGCAAGAACAGTGCATGCACGACCGTGCATTTACGGTCATGGCCACAAGATGGCAGCGCTGCCCCACTGGCACTTCCTAAGAACACAACTCAGGTGTGGGCAAGTACCTACGTATGTGTGTGGGAGGGGGCCGCGGTGTTAGGATGAGGGAAAAATGAATGAAAAAATGAATTAGACACAAATGAAGTGAATAGGTAATTTTCTTCCCTGTCAAGTGACAGAGTTGAGGTGAGTCTGAAACCATTGCATTTTAGAACTGGAACCCCCCCTTTTTTTTAAATAAAGATTTTATTTATTTCAGAGAGAGAGAGAGAGAGAGAGAGCATCGGTGCACATGAGTGGGGGGAGGAGTGGAGGGAGAGGGAGAAGCAGACTCCCTGCTGAGGGCAGGTCTCCAGGTGGGGCTCGATCCCAGGATCCTGAGATCATGACCTGAGCCAAAGTCAGACTCTTAATCGGCTGAGCCACCCAGGAGCCCCTGGAGCATACTTTAGGGAAGTCTCTTAAGCTTCAATGTGTTTACAGATCACCTTGTTTAAATACAGGACTGATTCCTCTGGTGGCGCCTGAGATGCTGCATTTCTGATAAGCTTCTGGACGATGCTGCTGCTGGTTGCTGGGCCACAATCTGTGTAGCAAAGCTTTTAGAGGTCATTTAGGGATTAGGTCTCACTTTACCTGATTTATGGATGAAGAGAAACTGAAGTGCAGAGAGAGTATGTAACTAGCCTAACAAAGTCATGACTTCAGTGTGTAATTTTTTGCATTTTTTTAGAAGAGTATTTATTTATTTGACAGAGAGAGACAGCGAGAGAGGGAACCACAAGCAGGGGGAGGGGGAGAGGGAGAAGCAGGGAGCCCGATGCGGGGCTCGATCCCAGGGCCCCGGGATCATGACCTGAGCTGAAGGCAGACGCTTAATGA